GGGCTGATAAGGCGACTGATTAGGTGGAGTGCCACTCGAGATATGGTGTAGTAAGTGCTGAAGAATGGGGCTTGTTCCACAAGTTGCGTGACTAATACTAAACTGATTTATAAAGACTATTTCAGATAACAATAAATAATACACAATTACTTAGATTTTATTTTACAATTAATGCCCTTAAGTGGTTCTGTTCGCTAAAGTTTAATGTACTTAAATGTTTGCTATTTTTATTATGAAAAAAATAATTTAAATGAGGATTTAATATAAATCGGAATGAATTTAAATTCTAGTAGTACACAAGCTTGTCAGAATCTGTTATTCGGTTATTTTGTTGTTATTCCCTGCATAAATGTTTCAAAATATAGCTAGTATATTGTAATGGAATGTGTTTCCCCTCCCTGAGAAATTCCCAGCTCACAATCCAGATAGAAAGAGGCCATCCATCTGCGGCATGGCACTTTCTAAGCCGATCTGCGGATGCCCGGATGAACCTGATATGCCCGTTTATGACATTAAATCCGTTACAAACTCGTGAACCGCCTGACTTCAGACTTGTAGCCGAGGAGAAAAGCCGGCAACCTGGCCAGAGAGTTCGTGACGTGGCATCAACAGTTTGTCATTAAACATTTCGACAATAATTTGCATTGTGCTCGCATTTATATAGAAGTACCTATCCTTTGATTCGACTTCCCGAATTGTAACAGTAGACGACGACGATGATCTGGACTCTGAGTCGCAGTCGCATTTGCAGTCGCAGTTTGAAATTGTTATGGCAGGTAATTTACATAAAAGATAAGTGGGTCCATGCAGCACACTGCACAATTATTATGGGACCTGTCTATTGTGCGGATAGTTGGGGAGACTCGGACTCCCAGCCACGATCTTTCCTCCCCCTTTGTCATTGTAAACAGATATGTGCTTTGTGCTGCTGTTTCTGTTTCTGTTTATTTTTTGTTTTTAGGTCGGGAGTGCTGCGAGTGACTTCCTAAAGGCATTAAAGGTATCAAGACTTGTTGCTGCCAGCCGCCTTGTTATGCAAATCCCCTTCAGGTTGCGTATACGACGTGTGTAGCCATTCGAAGGCGGGCAAATGTGTGAACCGCCGTCTAAAACGAAAAGTTCCCCCTGAATAGTTGGATATACAATAAGCCACCCAGCAGCCCTGACCCGCTTAGTTAGCGTTATCGACATCGTCGCTCCTTCGCTCGTCGTTCGCCAATAAAACAAATTAAAGTCAACAATTGACGGCGGTTAGGACCTGAAGCTACTCGCCTTGAAAAGCCGCAGTGCCACAATGGATTTCTGCTCGATACCGCTCGCCTGACTCCGAAAACCCCCAACACCGACTTACCGCCTTATCAAACAACCGAAATCGATGGCGCGACCGTTTGGCAATAATATTTTCTTACTTAGTAACTGCAATTGTTTGCCCGCAGTTGCACTTTTCCACCGCATTTGCAGCATTTTCCGTTGCATTTGCATTCTGCGTTCGCCTGCCTGCCTGCCTGACAGTGAATAATTTGCCATTTGCCTTCGATTCTGCGTTCCGTTTGCCGCGTTTAATTCGGCCTAATGACTTGGAAAAGCGCAAAGTTGAGCCCTTGGCGGCAGTCCAGGCCAAACGAAGCCAAAAGGAGTTGGGGCCAACGAGACACCTAATGAGGGAATGGCTAAACGCAACTGATTTATCAAGGAAATTACATAAAATAAATGGGCTTTTTCAAACAATAGATTCAATCGGTGTTGGCCAAATTAAATTCATCAAAGGAAACCCATTTAGTTTATTTACTCATGGAAATAACCTGTGCCCAGATTTCTTCATGTTCCATTTGCTATAAATTTATATTTCAAAAGACTGCTTAATTCACTCGTGTTAAGTCACCTTCAACTGGGTCAGTACTCCATACACTTCGCTCTCGATTCGCTGGGGGATTCAGTCATAACCTACTACATCCCCATCGCTTTCGCTTGAGGGTTTCCCAGAAAATTCCAAGAAATTGTTTGGCAATGCAGAGCACACACTTTATATAAGTCTTATCACCTGAACCTTTCAGACGGATTTCAAAGAAATTTGATTTGCTTGATTTGATCGGGAGTGTAAACATGGATCTGAGTCGCTTTTTTGGGATAAGGTCAGAGCTGATGGGGATCATGGACTCCATATCACGTAGCCCTCGATGGATGCAGTTTGTTTTTGAAGCCAACGAAGAATTTTCGACAGCTGCTGTGGACGATGATTTCATCCATTTCATCAGCCGAAAACATGCAAATGGATCGTGTGCATAGTAAGCGGCAGTTGAAAATTGAAAGCGACTATCGATGCGGTTGAAATAATGCAAATGGAGGCGATCCGTAGATCATGCCATACGGGAAAGTCATTGCCTTGCTGACTATGAAGTGCACACATTTTTGGGGGCTTACTTTTACACTCTAATGTTTTTTTTTTGTTTTCGAAGCTCAAAGCCTTAAGTCAGATTTAGATCAAGACACTTCAATTAGTTTCAAAGTCAAAAATAAAAATGTAAAATGGTATATACCTTAAAAATTACAATTCAAATTTCTGAAATATTTCATTTCATTTCATTTGTGGTGCCTTGCAATTATTTAAAAAAAATAAAAATAATTTTCTTCAAAAAAGTAAATGCTAACAAATGTGTGGATAGAAGGCTTCATACAAGTATTAACATTTTGAAAGAGGTTCAACATTTTGAAAATTCTTTTGTTGTTATCACTCCTTTAGTTTTCTGTGTACTACCCTTGAACTTGTTGTGAACTCCTATGCTTTCCTAAGGGGCAGGAGTCCAATTTATGCAATAGCCCAGGGACGTTGATAAAAGGGGATACTACAATTTTATTTTTTCTTCATATTTTGAGATGCAACCAAATAGATACGTAATTAAGCAATTTAAAGAGGTAAAACATTATAATATACTTCAAGGTAGTTTTAAACCCCTTTGCATACGCCACATTCGCCTTCTTAGGTATTCTAAAATCAAGTCGCTAATAAATGCAGCGGTCTGCCTGCAGACTTGTCCTATTGCCACTAAAAAATGTGTGTCATATATGTATGAGATTTGGCGCCTGACTTTCTGAATACGAAATCTGGCTCGCACTCCATCGAAATGCAAATCCTCTAATGCAGAGAACTCGAAAGGTGCCAGCAAGTCGGCACCTTTAATGCGCCTCGATTACTTTTGACTGCGGTTCAACGCTTGACATTGACATGTGCCAGGGTTTTGCTACCGATTGACCACTGAGCAAAACTATTACTAACTTTCAAACAATTGATTGACACGAAAATGATAAAATGCGCATCCCCTATTTTATTTAAATAATTTAGACACTAAACATAGTTTCTATAATACTTAAAACATAAATCGTTTTACAAACATGCTGAATTTTTTATATTAACTTGATTTATAAATTGCTTAGACTTGTCTTCTCAACGTTTAGTTTTTTTTTTAACCTTTTTCTCATCGAAATCTCTAGCATATGCACTATCTCCTCTAAAATCTCTGGCAAATGGCTCGAGTTTAGCGCCATGCGGGCGCAGCATGCGAAAAAATCTCGCATTGAGGTGTTTTGTTGGCCAACGCCAAACATGTGCTGGCCACATGCCCCGTTTATGTTAAGTTCCATTTCCATTTCCAATCCCAATCTCAAGCCTGTCCAGGCGAAGGTGTGAACTGTTTGAGGACTGGGTCCTGTGCCATAATACACTGAAAAGAATGTATAACGAAATTGAATTCAAATAACATCATTTTCACGGAAGCATTAAATATTTAATACTATATATTATATTGGTAAAATAAGCTAGGTAAACAACTATTTTATCCCAAGGAAGCTTGAACAATTATTAATAAATTTAATTAATTTAATTATTCCTTTTTCTATGGATATAATATATCTTATAGTATATTTTAAAATACGTTTCTTAAAGCCTTGCTATTTTCTTTTTCCGTGTAAAAGTGATAACCAGCCAGAAGAATCTGTTCTAATCTCGCATACCTTCGACTTCGCTGGGCTCTCCGCTTTCCCTCGAGGGAGTTCTTCTGGCCCTCTCACACATGGCCAACTCCAACTGCGGCGATGGGAAAACAAACAGGAATGGCCACACATGTGTGCCCAGAAGGGACCGGAGCACGTACTACGCGAAGGTGCGAGTCCTTGGATTCCCAGCGCCGCAGTTCCCACACATCCTGGCCATCCTGGCCTCGATCGGCCATATGATAATGTTGATGTGCTTTTCCCGTAGCGCCAGGCGTGTCCAAATGTTTTGTTGCGGAATTCCTCAAGGCAAGCATTCTCGCACACATTACGAAGAGTCGGCGCTCGCGAAAAAAACAAAAGACAGAAAAACACACGAGCCAAAGTTACATATGTTGTTTGGGAATCTATTCAAGAAATTTCCATGTCCATGTTGAAAAAGGGATTCCCTCGTAGGCGGCGTTTTCCCACGATTTTATAACTGGGCTCGACTTCCAATTCCCACCGTGCCATTTCTCCATGTGTGGCTGGGAAAATCGTCCTCGCCCTCGGTTTTTTGCCTCGCGGGGGAAAACTCTCCGATTCGAGAACGCTCGAGATTTTCCAGTTGCAAGCGGTACATGTGGCCGGTAGCCAGTGCCAATGAGCACCGTCTAATGGCCACCAGAACACCGCGGTCATCTCGAGTGCACAGGTTGTAAAGAGACCACACCCCTCGGCACCCGACACTTGACTTTATGCGCCGGCGCAGCGTTTTCATTTTCAGGTAGCCAAGTCACATCGCATAGGTAAACATTTGCCAATATCTCACGCTGACCTTTGACGCGTGTCAGGTGATTTTCCCATGGATTCCGGCAAGTGTGAAATCTCTACTACCTGTTGAGGCAATCTTAAACAGGAAAAGACCACAAACCGTGTCAAATGGAAACAGGGAAAGTGGACTTTTTAAACAGAGATTGTATAATTAACCATCATTGGTTTTATTTTTGTAAATGTTGTTTAATATAAACATCTTTTTGTTTTCTAAGTTTTTAATATTTTTTGTCATCCAAACAATAACAGGAATTTGGATGTTCATTCATTTTCTCCTTTATCGATATGAATTACTCTTAACATATTATTTCTGGCAGTAAATAAAGAAAAACGCTCAGAATTCATCGAGGTTATCTATTAGCAATAACGATAATTTAGCTAGTGACATTTGCCTGCTGGGCGCCAGGAAACCCAAATCCCGATGAAGAGTCCAGGTCGCCATATCCTCCATTGGCATCCGAAACTGTTGGCGGGGCAGGATTTCGAAACTGATCCGCTGAGATGCGGGTAAATAGAATGCCCACTCCTTCGATCATGGAGAGCAGGACGCCTCCGATGATGGCACTTCCAGCCATGGCAGCCAATCCGTTGCGGGATGCCAAGATGCCACCGGTCACAGCTCCACTCACAATCGAGTTCCAGGGATCCTCCTTCTGGCGAAGATGCACCAGACTGCAATCCACAATACTAAACACGGCTCCCCAGGCAGCAAAACTGCCGGCAATCACCGGTGATTTGGTTTTAACCGCCGCCACACTCCCGGCGAATCTTCTTCCAATGCCCTGCGGTGCATTCCGAAATCCTTTCAATCCTTGGAAGACCCCGCCTCCGATGCAGCCCATGGCAAAGGCTCCTCCGCAATCGTCGACGATGCGATGCGGGCACGGCTCCCGCGAATACTCCTCCATCTCTGCACTCTTCGATGGCTAGGATGGGATTTCCTACTTCTGGCCGAAACTGAAAACGGAAAACAGAATTTGTTGAATTTTTAGGCACAAGTTTCTGCTGAATCTACGATTGAGTTCTATGAGGCTTGAGGGGTTTTAAAATGTGACATCCAGTGTACGAAAAATACCCGGAACTATTGCCGAATTGAGTGGAGTCATGTGACTCGAAAGACGCAGCCTTCTCTGAGTTACAATAATTCGCAATGCATACAAGAATTTAATTTAAATGGCATAAACATATTATATTATTTACAAATGGTAATCTAAGATTGGGTAATCAATAGCAATGGTTATGGATTTCATACCCTCATTTTCAGCTAAGTGAACCAGCAATTACAGGTTGTAGGAACTCAGTACTTGGTTCTAGTTGTCCCCCCTCTAGATTTCCATTAGCATACAGAACCAGAGAGTCAGAGCAAACAGAGTCGCACGTGGATCGGGGATCTTTAGCCCCGAAGCTCGCCTTCAGCACAAAAAGGTTAAATAGCACAAATGTCGGACCGTAGTTAACCATAAAATTTACTGCCGCAGCTGGACAACTTGGGATCGGGAATGGGGAGTAGACGGGACGGGATGGGTTGGGATGGGATGGGATGGGGGTCTTTCCAAAGACGCATTCGTAAAAAGGCAGACGGTGGGAAACGGAAACAATGAGACCGATTGTCGTCGACCGATAAAAACCGAAGCGAACCAAACCAGAACCAGAGACCCAATACCATTTTATACGATTCCCGAAAGGGAAGCTTACGATTGCATGCATAATTATCACGCGAGCATAATCGAAAATTTTGAAACTGTCGCAACTGTGTTTGCTTAGCTCGAAAGTAAAAAAGGAAGGGGAGTCTTCGGACCCTCGATGGGTATCTCCGCATAACAAGGTGTCAGACAGCGGTGACAAATGAAAGTGAAACCCCGATCGAAACCCAAATCGATGGGCAGAGTTGCTTGTGGAGGGGACACCTGGACACACACGAAGCGCCAGTCCATTGTTTTGAGGACAGCTCTCGTCAACTTGACATGTAAATCGTTAGAACGTGTTGCACTCGATTGATTGCTCTCACTCCCGGGAACATTATCTCCGATCATTTGTCGGGAAATGGCCGCAGGATAAGGTCTTCTATAATTTGTAATTGTAAATACTGGGCACATTGTTTGCCACTGCTGCGGGACTTCCACTGAAATCTTCATTTCCCTTCTAATTGTTGTCGCTTATAAATGATTGAGTCTGGATTATGTTGATTTGGTGTTAATGTGGGCACATTATGCGAGTGCGATCAAAGGATTGGCTATTCCTGCGAAGGACGCGAATTGGTCAGGGGTTTCCCACGAATTTGGGAGTTTCTCGATGGTCAGTTTACTGGGAAATCACAGGCCAACTGGAATCTCAAATTTGAAAGGGAATTGGGAAGGAATTCATTCAGATAGGATGGGCTTGTTATTAAATCTGTAGAATTAATCTAAATAAATAACAGTTAGGAAACCTAAGAACTAATCTAATCTTTGAATGGTTGATCGGTTTTTCATTTACAATAAAAATTAGTTCACCATAAATTACCATACGCAGATGAGCGCCAAAAACACAATGCTCCCAAAGATATTTCCACCGATTTCTAAAACTGTTCCGCATTCCATCTTTCGATCTTCAATTGCTCCGTTAGAAGGCCAGTGTTTGGGCAGCTGTGATGCAACCTTCTACATCTTTAGGAATATGCATCTGCATAACCGACGACAAAAGGAATCGAGAACGGAACTCATTTGCTCGACTTGAGGAGAATCCCTGCACATGCCAAAACGCCAGCGAGAACAAAGCGGCGAAACAATTGCGGTTGCATTACCCCAGAAGTCCAATTCAAATTCCTACAGCCTCCAGCCGGGCAATGAAATCCAGAGTGCGGAATCAAAGGGCAGGCCAGGAGTCGACAAAGGATGTGGCTCAGGTAAGCACCGGGGCATGCCGCCAAAAATAATGCTCGGCAATCTCGAACGGTGCACCATTGTTGTGTCCTGTGCCCCGGCTGTGATTACTCGTATTCCGATGACGATCATAAATGTACTTCGCACGTGCACTGAAAAATATAATGAGGGCTTAAGAAAATTTTACAAATAAAATATATTTTATGTCAAATGGTTCAAGAAAATCTAAAATAAATGGAAAGACAAATTTATAAAACGTTTCCTATATTAATGTTAAATTGAAATGTTGAATAAATTAGAGAAGGTTATATCCTTTAAATACAAGCCATTAGTAGAATATAATTATTTTGATATCTTTCCTCGTAACTAAATTAGGTTTTCTTAAAGCTTAACATATTCGTAATAACTTCAAAATAGAAATCACTGGCATGTATTTACTATTATTTCTTTTTTTCTCTTGGTGTACTTGATAAATTCCCCTCCCCAACATTCGCTATTGTGCGCCCGCAGATGCAAGTCAACGTCCGAACTGAGCCTCGATTTTTTTTTTTGGCTGAGGGCAAACAGATGCACGTCTTGCCAAAAACCAAAAACCGAAAACTGAAAACAGAAATCAGAAAACCCAAGCCGAAGGCCCAAGACGAAGACGCGCCAAAGGAGAAGAGTCCTGTGCTGAACTAAACTGCAGTGCAGCTGTCAATGCCAAGCCACCAACGCGCCACCCTCGAGTTGACATTATTTCCAGCACCGATTCGTGATTCGAGATTCCTGATTTCCGAGTGCTCCTGCCTGCCTGCAGACGCAGATGCGATGTCCTTTGGGTTTCCTCGGCCGCATTGTTGTTGGCCGTTCACCCGCCCGCCCGGTGCAATGATTTTTTCCTTAACGGCTCCTTGACTGCTTTATGTTTGTACGGGTTTTTTTTTTGCGGGCTCTGACCCAAGAGCATCCTTTTTGGCTCTTAGGTCCTGCCAAAAGGTGTTGGAAATCCTGTTAATAGGGGAGTTTCTTCGGCCTGACCTCGCATAACTTGGTGTGTGGCAGGAGAGGGGGGAAGGTGTCCAATATTTCAGGGAATATAAGAGATATCGAAAGGACATCCTAAATAATATTTTACTACGTTTATTAAAATTAAGATAGGGGGAACATATATACACTACGTTTTTACTTTCTTTCTGAACTCATATTCATCGGAAGTCATTATCATTAGTTAGTTATAACCTTCAACCCCTGCTCACCTTTTGTCCACACAAAAAACTCTCCCTTTTTTATGTAGTCCATAATCACCGCAACAGAGTTAAATAATATTTACACACTTCATTTAGGAGACACGTGTAATAGGCTAAACAGAGTGTTTAGTGTGGCCAACAAGCAGGACGCACGCGATGGTTCCCTAATCAGCTTAGTCGTATCAGGATAATGGATAATGGAAAGTTGGGGGGCAACGATGACGACAGGACGCTGACAACAGGACTCGTAATGCCGGCACTCCATTGACAGGATAACGAACCGTGAATAGGCGCGAAACCTGCACCGAACCTACTATAAAAAAAAGAAATCCAAGGGGGAATCGAACTGGAAGTCAAGGCAGCTGCCACAAGTGCAAACCGGGCGACAATAGAGCTTGCTGCGGGGATGGGTTTTTATTTTTTTGGGGTCTGTCTGGGATTTTTGAGACCCATCGGTATTGGGATCGGGGTCGGGGGTCATTCACAATTTGGCGCGAACAATGGTACACAGGTAGCGATGGAACCCGCACATAATCGCCGACAGATACGACCAGGTGATCCAACTTTTTGATTTCTTCTGGCTAAAGGACATTGATACGCCGGCCTCGCCGAAGGATTCCGGGAAGCAATTCCTTTCGCTGGCTTTTCAAAACATTTACTCCACTGTTCGGCCATTGTGTCGCGAACCTATTGATTGTGCAATGCACCCGGTCAACACACACAGCCCGTGGCAGTGATTTTCCCTGCTTCTCCGATCTTCGATTTATGGATCGCAGCTCCTTTGTTTCGTGCCAAAAAATGGAAAGAGAATCAGGAGAACCAACAACAACAACGGGAGCTGCAGTCCCGGTCCTGGGGGTAGTAAAGTAATCAAGAATTCATTGTCAACGAGATCACACATCGTATATCTTGGCCTATAGTTTGTTTTCCTTGGTGGTATCCTTAATGTTCGTTCCTTTCTTCTACCTTCTCCTCTCCGAATTTATTTTCTTTTTTGCGAAAGGTGCACCCGGCCAGCTGAGCTGGAGGTACTGTTAGGTTATGAAGGAACTATTGGACTGTGGAAGAGTGGGGGACACGGGTTTGAAAGAATCAGGCCTTAAAGCTGCAAAAACAGTTACGGCATCCCTGCGGGTAAAAAACCAAAAGAATTATCTAAGATTGGTTCGCCAAAAAAAATATAATCAAAAAAACGAATACTTTAAAATAACACATGTTGATCTAGGATTTTAATAAAAACATAATTCTTCTCCTATGAGAAATTAGAAATATATAATTTTATAATAAGGCAAAATTTCAATACTAAATTTGTGTACTACTTTGTTTTTCAGATAAAATTATAATTAATTGAAGAAAAATAAAAGTGTGCCTTATAAAACCCGTGTCCAACTTAATGTAGTATACAAATTGAAGCAGCTTCTTTTCCAATTTTCTTTCTACATTTTATTTTCTCCACCACTTCTTCTCCTCCTTTTCGACCCAATTCTTTTTGCAGTTCGATTAGGATTTGCCCTGGGCTCCTCCTCGAACAATGCCAACTGAACTCTGCAGATCCTTGTGTTCCCTCTTTATTGTAAGCTACAACAAATGAGCCAGGACAAGGTGCAAAAATGGGACGGGCCCATTGTCAGCGAAAATCAACAGCAGTAACAACAACAAGAGCTAGGGGAAATCGAAGAGCAGCTGAGCACCTGCAGAAATCCTAAGCGAGTCGGGAAATATGACTAAAAACCCCGAAAGGGTTTTCCCCAAAATATTGAGATAATGAATGAAGTGGAAAACACTGGCCGCCAATCATCTACCTAATGCTAATGAGCGGGCCAAACCGGACGGGGATTTTTGCGGGTCAGGTACTTCGCCGGATACTCAAACGACAAGTGCGGATTTTCCCGCAGAATGAATGAGGACCGCCGGGTTATCCGCGATGTCCTGCGGGCAATTCCGCGGGACAGGATCTCCTCGCGGTGATCATTAGGTAGATGGGTGCCTGGATGTGACATGGCTGCTCGTTGCGCGGAATAACACACGTAATAACCGAGATATCCGGGATGACCCACCAGGTAGGACATAGGACATACAGTATAGAAAACCCCCAGCCAGTTTTCCCACTCGCTTGTTTTGCTTGAGTTTCGCTGACTGCGTAATTGGATAAGCTGGGAAATTACTTTAAATCCATCGCTGATCCACATCCGGAGAGTCGCCGGAGGGAAATCCAATGCAGGAAAACACAAAATGGAAATGCGGCTGGGTTATTGGCTCGACATTTCCCAATTTTGAACTCACGCCATTGGTCGCAGGATCGCGGGGAATTGGAATTCCGGGCTGGAATTTTTTGTCACCTCTTGGGTTTATCAAAACTTTTGGGTTTGCTTCGGATTTTTTCCAATTTTACCACTGCGCCTGGTTTTTTCTTGGCTCTTGATGGCATGGGAAATCGGACTTGGCTATGCGGGCTCGTCTGTTTTTCCGGGCACAAAGTCTGCGGGAGTGGGAGTTGGGAAAGTTTCCCTCGATCGTTGGAGGGGTGGCGATGAAGTCTGGAGGTCCTCGGTGGGAAAGTTGTGTGTGCGCGATGAGGCATCGAGTCAAAGATCAGGGGAGTTGGAAAGCGAGAAGGTTGGGAAATATCCTTTGGTCGGTTGGATGCTGCCGGCTATCAGTACTCTCTGAATGGGTTTTACTCAGAATTTTTAATATTTAATTTAGTTACCTATGAGTACTTACAAATTAAAAAGTCTAAAAATTTTAAATTTTAAACATTTATTCGCCAAATATCATATCAAAAGTTTTAAGAAATTATACAACAATTTAGTTTTTTGTCAAAAAGTTAGAAAAAAGTCGTCTTCATTTTTAGTGAGTTGATAAAAGTTTATTTGGCTTCTGAAGTTTGTTTTTCTTAAAGTCATATACCCAATTATCCTTTTTAGAACAACCTCAAACCAATTATAAAAGTAAACGAAATTTTATTAGAAAAAATTAGTATAATAAAATGACAACTTGATCCGTCGGATTTTGTAATTGTTTTCTCATGTTTACAAAAAGGAAATCTTGAAAACTTCTGAGGATTGCTTTACAAATTTCGTGAGAACAGGATGAACTGGAGGCCCGAGGTAAGCTCACAGGAGACTTTATATTATCCGTCAGTTCCCTTCTGGTTAAGTAATGATGGCTCCTATATCCCCAAACTCCAGCAAACTCCGAACTCCCATCGATCGCTGGCAATGAGCCACTGGAGATGATCCATAAGTCAGCGCGGAGTGCATCCCAGAGTTGACACTTGGTGCTCGGAATTCGGCTCATTATCAGTGTTATTTTTGGAACACCTCTCCGCCGCCAAGGTGTCAGTTTTGTCAGTCCGTTTCGCTCAGGTTCAACTCCCCCTTCCTCCCTCTCAACTTCCAATTAAATTGTAGGGGAGATCGGCAGATGTACTCGAAGCACTCGATCTAAGTGCGGAAAACGGAAAGCGGAAAACCACCCCCAAATGGAAAACTAGGAGTCCAATTTGACTCGTGCTTAAAAATAGAAAATTACTTAGGGAAAGCGATAGTGGATAGAGTGTAACTTGTATTCGAAAACCTGCAGGAGTTATTACGGGTGGGTTGTGGCCATATCCCTCGAAATTGGAGAGCCACCAGAGCTGTCATAACTTATAGGGGGATCGCGGGATTCCTGGGAGGGTGCGCCTGCGCCTGCTCTTCCAAGAGAAGAGGAGGGAGAGAGAGCGAGCCAGCGAGAGCGAGCAAGAGGGGAGAGCAGGTAGAGGGAAGTGAGGGAAATACGCAATAAGGGTATGGGAAAAGTACGCTTGTTGTTGTTGCTAGGTAGCGGCGCACACGTGCGTGTGAGTGAGTGTGTGTGTGTGTGTTGTTTCTTTCGGAAGAAGAACCACCACCAAATGGTGGCAGCGACGCCGGCAGAGAAGCGGAGTTCGGGGTATAAAAGAGCGTGCTCGACAGTCGACCTGTCACACAGCCACCTCAGCTCTCGTTGAGTACGCATCTACATCTCTATTTCTCTATAACTCGAACTCGAACTTAAACTCCATAACTCGCCTCTCGAAAACCCCCGATCTCGATATATCGATCTCGATCATTACCGGAAATTAAAACTTACACTCGAACTTTCTAAAATGGCCGCCAACTACAAGAGCTGCCCGCTGAAGAAGCGCCCCATTGTCTTCGTGGAGGAGCGTCTGCCGCAAACGGAGGCCTTGGCTCTGACCAAGGACTCGCAGTTTGCCCAAGATCAGCCCCAGGATCTCTCTCTGAAGAGAGGACGCGAGGAGGAGCCCCTGGATTACCAACAGCCCGAACCGAAACGTGACTACGTGCTGAACCTCTCCAAAACACCGGAAAGGATCTCCTCGAACTCGTGTTTGCTTTCGCCGCCAGCGGAAGACCAGGATTACCAGCCCACCAACATCCACATGCGAGGACTCACAGCTGGAACCACTGGTTACACCACCGCCAGTCCCTCGGTGAATCCCTTCCAGTCCGCCTTTGTGATGGCCGCCGGATGCAACCCAATCTCGGCTCTGTGGAGCAGCTACCAGCCCCATTTGGCCGCCTATCCATCGCCGGCCAGCTCGATGGCCTCGCCGCAGTCGGTCTACAGCTACCAGCAGATGACGCCGCCCTCCAGTCCGGGATCCGATCTGGAAGCCGGCTCCGAGCCGGAGGATCTGTCCGTGAGGAACGACATTCCCCTGCCAGCTCTGTTCCACCTCTTCGACGAGGCCAAGTCCAGCAGCAGTGGCGCCAGTGTGAGCAGCTCATCCGGATACTCGTACGCTCCGGCCATGAGTGCCTCATCCCAGAATGTGTCCTCGAATCACGCCAAGAACTATCGCTTCAAGTGCGACGAGTGCCAGAAGATGTACTCCACCTCGATGGGATTGTCCAAGCATCGCCAGTTCCACTGCCCCGCAGCGGAGTGCAACCAGGAGAAGAAGACGCATTCCTGCGAGGAGTGCGGCAAGCTGTACACCACCATTGGAGCCCTCAAGATGCACATTCGCACCCACACTCTGCCCTGCAAGTGCCCCATCTGCGGCAAGGCCTTCTCGCGTCCCTGGTTGCTGCAAGGACACATCCGCACCCACACGGGCGAGAAGCCCTTCCAGTGCCCCGACTGCCCGCGATCCTTTGCCGATCGCTCCAATCTGCGAGCCCATCAGCAGACCCACGTGGACGTGAAGAAGTACGCCTGCCAGGTGTGCCACAAGTCCTTCTCGCGGATGTCCCTCCTGAACAAGCACTCCAGCTCCAACTGCACCATCACCATTGCGTAGGACTACTCACTTTAAAAACATCCTTCGGCAAGACTAAACAAAAAACATTCCGCTGGCGAAGACCAAACAAACAGACAATAACTAAGATTAGCCTGTACTAAGTCGATTCGGTTTTGGTGCTACTATTATTATATTTATTTCATTCTTAGTATTCCTAGTTTAATTCATGTATATTGCCTCATTGTCACACGCAGCATTTGACCAAATCTATTCATTTAATTATTATCCTAATTTATATACTCTCAATATGATTAAGAAAATTGTTGTTAAGATTATTCCTAGTTTTAAGATAACAAATATTTTTATAAAAATAAAATATACAAAATCATAAAAGAAATTTTAAATGGTCTTTATTATTTTGAATAAAACAGAAACTACTTTACAGAACATTAAACAATGTTCAGGGTAAATAGCATATTTTATTAATCACAATAAAACATATAATATTTCAGTTGACCTTTTATCAACTAAATATTTTATTTAGAAACAATTACAAGAACTTTATGTTATTTAAACCTAAATTTCCCATTTCTTTCTACTTTTTCTATGCGCCTTCCAATACACAATAATTAACAGGAAACCAAACATCCGCATCTTGGGGTCTTTCCCCTGTTCATATTTTGTGACAATTTCCGCCAACCCTCTCGGAACAGAAAAACAGAAATCACTACAATAGCAATATCGAGTTCTCGGAGAAAACACCTTTAGCATGTGCAAACAGGCAGCCGATTTGTCATACACTTTCCATTTCGGGGACTTCCTCTTAACCCGCCCCCAGTAATAATATTCGATCACTCCATATCAGTTTGCGATTTGCACCTTTCGCCAATGCAAATATTTAATTAGCTGACACAGCCGACGCTCCACGTTTTCTTTTCTGCAATCCTTTGCCGGCATATTTGCCGAACGGATCTCGGCGCATGCGTCCCGTATCCCAAAGGACACCGAAGGACCGAGGGGACTGCAGGTGATAAACATAGCGACGGCTGCTTATCGAGTCCTGTGATTGACATGGCAGACGGTAGTTCAGGTCCTGATTGGATTGGATTAGCACTGAAGCATGTCCTCAGCCGAGAACCCAACGAGGTTTATCTGACTGTTTAATTAGAGCCGTGTGTTGGTGATAAGACATCAGGTTGGACAGGTATGGAAAATAAATCCTAGATACGGGTGGAAAGTTCAGCCTGGTCACGTATTCTTTTTGAAGTGTAGTATTACATTAAAAAAAAAATAATTGGGCAGATTATAATTATTCTTACAAATTAACATTTGCAGTAAATTTAATTACTTAGTTCTTTTTTTGGTTCATTCTCTTGTATATATACAAATATTACATACTAGCAAACTAAATTCCCTAAAATGTGTGACTGCAGCTAACAAGTAAACGAATGTGGGTGTATCGAAATGGGACAACCATTAGCGACAGTTTACTGCAATAGCAACACCTTTCGGCCATAAATAAGGCAGTCGAAAAACGTATTCCCAGAAGGAACCAACGCAGACAAAGGCCAATCATTGCAGTTCCTCGGTAATCAGAGCGCGTCTCTTGTGCAATTGCAAAAAACTGCAGTACAGATGTAGCTGGTCACAATGCATCGGGATGCATGCGAGGAAACACCTTGCAGGGAAGACAATGCCGATGAATCGAGTCCAAGGATCGTTGTACCTGTCGCCCGATTGTCTGCCGAAGATTTCTTCACCCAGTGACCTACTGCGAGAAGAGACAGCTCTGCAGCCTCTGTGATGTCTTCCGCCCATTGTTGCTGCGGCATCCTTTTTGCCATTGTCCTGCGGCTAATCACTGCTTAGGGAAGCCAAAGAAATCACAGACCACAAAAGTCAGCCGCTCTTTGCGCTCCACTGAATGCAAATCCCGCGCCGATCGGAATCGATCCCAAAGCCACCTGAGATCGGCGACTTACTCCCCATTAGTCCGGCAAACGCGATAACAAATTGCAATTGACAAAGCAAACGAGATGCGATCGATGGAAGCCACATATCCGAGCCTCCAATGTGGATGTGGATGCGATTCCGATTTCGATTCCGCGGCCCAATCCATGCCATACAAATCGATGGCGGGCCGAGATACAAGCTGCGGCATTTGTAATTGCTAAGAAATCCGGGGGGCAGATGAGGAGCAGGAGGATCAGGAGGAGTTGGAGCGGCAGGAGGAGCAGGCCAGGCAATCACCGAGCGGCGCATGTCACAGAGCGCAAACAAAAACTAGAAAGATATATTTATGTTGAGAAATCCGAAGATGGAATACTCTCTTAATTATTTATACTTATTAAGCAAATATTCCGTGAATTTAAATATGGAATTGCAGCAAAGATTTTAGGAACCTCTGAAAAAAAAAATATATCAATTAACTATGAGAACAATTAATATTTGTTCAAGTATAATCTGGTATAATAAGTTGTTATTTTAAAATTGATAATCTATTGATCTTAAAAGTGTATAATTTGCTTGACATTTTCATTCACCACTTCAAGTCTCTTGCCAATAGAAATACCCCTTAAAAGAGTATCCAACAAAAAAAGAAATGCCAGAGAGAAGGCAAGACAAAAAGCTCATGCAAAACAAACATTAGGAAATCCAATCCGAGCCCGGGCATCCACATCCAGCATCCACATCCAGCATCCAACATTCAGCAGCCAGCAGCCACTTAGGCAGTCACTCAGTGGAAAAGCCAGCGTTCGAGGAGTCGAGGAGTCGCCAAGTCGAGGAGTACAGTGCAGGAATCGTGGACCAAGTCGTCGTTTAGGACGTCTGAGATTACGAGCGATTACGTTTTACTCCAAATTTGTATGCTGCCAGAGTTGTAATTGAAAAAGCATCAACATTAATCTTGGTACTCGTACTCGAACTCGAACTCGCACACACATCGCCGGCCAAACAGCTAGCGATTTTCGATTTCGATTGGGAATCGGATTTCGTAAGCGGTCGGGAGAGAGATGCCAGATAAGCGGGTGTAAGTGTGGGTAAGTCTGATCCGAATGAAAAACATATTGCTTAATCGCTGCGCTGATGTGGAGCAGCAGATATGATCGGCAGATCTGCATCCATCCCCTCCCCCTTTGCGGGTCCACAAAATGCAGCTCCGACAAGTGAGCGATGTGCGATCGCATGGCATAAATCAAATCCCGGAGAGAAATTGCGCCGCCGGCTGACAGCCAAGCCACGACAACTGTCCATCGCATCGCATCGCATTGGATCCATCCAAAGGCAGTCAGCCAGCCAGCCAGTCAGCCAGTCAGCCATCCAGCGGAGCTCAAACTTGATGCTTTATGCCAGGCCACATGCAAATGATCGTGCCCAGCATTCGACACCGGCCTGCGGATTGCGGATGGCAACCTGTCAGCGATCAGCGACCTTAACTGTAAAGCCAGTCGCAGACCGCAAAGGTTCTATTCTCCCCACACTGGAAAAATCAGGGGTTTAAGTAGAACCTCATTAGGAAAATTTACTGCCATGGTCAGAAACCATAAAAACATAGCACCATTTTGCATGCAATGGTGCTTCTGTTCTATAAAATATAAACATAAGTTAAGCTACATAACAAATGCAATCCAAAAATAAATAACAATTTGAACATTCAATGAAATAATATTTAGTATTTTCACAGGGATTTTTAACTTATGTTCTTGCTCAGTACCCTTTATATTTATTAGTCGTATACGACATTTGGATAAGTTTATTATTATGTTTTCAAAAGGTTCTTCCGCTCAGTATTTCTTTCTAAAAACCCTTTTCTCCCTGTGCATTCTTGAGTTACATGACCGACGAATGCTGGCGTTAGTAGTCGCTAAGTGCAGTCAAGAGACGGCGGGCCCGAGACTCCTGTGGCCATCAACTTGATGACGAGGCTGGCAGATCGCCCAGCGGAGCTTCTCGAGCCGCAGCACCTCCTTTAGCCCGACTGTCGTCGCTTAACCCCCTCGTGGGCTGCGCTTCGTGCCCGGACTGCTGTAGATCGGCGAGCGTTGATAAATGTTGTTACTTGTCGTTGGATGTTTGTACTCTTCTGAGTTGTCGACAAGCCCGATCGATGGGTGGTTATAGTTGACATGTCGCTCTGTGTTTTCCTAGGCCCATCATCCTGAGATCGGGATTGGGATTGCAATAGGGATAGGAATCGCGAGGCGGGAGACGGGAGACGAAAGTGGGGTACACGATCGCTCCAGGGCTGCCAAACTGATTGGCTTTGCCGGTGACAACATGTTCGCGAAACGGTTAATTGTGGTTATGATTTGGTCTTGTCTCCGTTTAATTAGTCGCCTTATATGCCACTCTGAAATTACCTTCACTTCCTGCTTGACATCTGCGATCATCAGCGGTGGCTCATCTGCAATTTGAATTTCCCAAGAGCCACGATCCAGGTATAAATATTGCATAAAGTACAGTCAAAAGGGTAGAAAGTAGCGCTCCCCTCTGCCATCCACATCCGATTCGTTAATTCGCAGGCAAATCGATTCCATTCGATCCCATCGATCTGGCGCTCACTTCTCCCAGAGATTGCATCTACTTGACACACATCGCACGCAAATCGATGCGGTAGCATTTACACATATTTACCACATATCGGGCGGTATTCGCTCCGCCCGCCACTTCCCCTCCGGAATTCAAAAAGATGCGACTCGGTGTCCAAAAATAGCCGGCTCCCTTCGGCGGCTTCAAGCCGATGCTCCACACAGCCTATGCCGAAAAATGATTTATGTATGCGACTTTCCTCAGCTTCATTCGGCTGGGCCTACTTTTTGTGTCGCGGTGTATTAGAAGCGGCCTATATGACCCTTAAAAATCGGAATAAGTCTGTATTTCACAAGAGAGTTCATTGCCCACGCTCATGAGTTTGATTTTCTTCCCAAAAAAGTTGCACCCTCTAAAGAAATATACTTTGTGATTAGCAAAAATTAAATAAAATATAAAAATGGCTTTTATGAATTTCAAAATACAAATAATATATACAAGAACAAAAAGAAGTACAAAATAATAACATTTTTTAACTAGCTATCATGGAAATATATTTGTTGTTGCAATACACTCGCAGAACTATCGAAATTTTATGAAAATATATGCTGGAGAGTTTTGTAAGACTTCAATTCACGTGATGGACTCTGGAGCACATGTGATGAAAGACAAACGGTAGCTGGATATGCAAATGGGCCGGGGGACCTATGATCACCACCCAGTGGGATGACGTATCCAGTCCAATCTGCTGAAATATTCATGAAAGTAGAAAGACTTTCTTCCGTTTCCGCCATCCAGAGGCATCTGAAGTGCATGAACCGAGCCGGCGAAACGATGATACAGAAGTGTTGGCAACACTCCATAAAC